TCCATTTCTAAACCTCTCTCCTTCCAGCAAGTCTGAGACAGAAGGGCAGCTACATTTTTCCCATGGATAAGGGAATATCATATCTTACCATTAACACAGAAAGTAAGCAGGCCCTCCAGTGATGTCCACTGCCCCTGGAGCTCGAGGCAGTGCCCCCCCACCTCTGGAAGATGGTGGTGGCCAGCCTTGCTCGCCTCAACTTCCCCCACCTGTGCCTCCATTCTTCCAGTAGGCCCCATTCCTGCCTCAGGGCCATGGTGCCACCTGCCCTCTCCCCCCAACCTGGAACATGCTAGCCCCATCCTACCTCTTCCCACATCTTCCCATTGTCATTTGAGTCTCAGCTCCCATGGTACCTCCTGGGCACCAGCCCCTGACCTCCTGTATACAGTGGCCTGCCTTCCCTACCCTTCTTCCTTCCCCATCTCGTAACTATTTTATTTTTTTCATTGCATTTATCATTATTTGAAATTATCTGTTTTCCACTTGAATATCGTCTGTGTCCCCCTCCCCAGAATACAGGGTCGCAGGGTTGTGTCCTGTCATGGCCACGGCAGCACCCCTTGCCTGAAATATAATAGACACCCCATAAACACTGGTCCCCCACAGGGATGGTAACCAGGAGCACCAGACAGAAGAGGATGGCTACGCCGGGGATCCACCCCATCTCTGCAGCTGAACACAATACAGCGCACACCACGTTTCCTCCCTCACATCATGCTGTGGTGTGGGGTGGGGAGCCGGAGCCTACATTGTAGCTGCACCTACTGGGACATATGGCTTCCAAGGTTTCCATGGCAGGGGAGACAGAGATGTAGGGGACTCCAAGCTCTTATCAGCCTTGGACACAAGTGACTCAGGTCACTTCCTTTTACACAGACCACTAGGCAAAACTAGCCATGCAGCCCCACATCACCTGCCAGGGAGGCTGGGTGGGGGAGGGGAGCACAAGGGTGTTCTATGAGGCTGAATGGCCTGTGCCACCCCTGGACCCCATATCCTAGCCCAGGCTCTGCCAAAAAGAGATCCCAAAGGGAGTCACCCCAAATGATAGGGAAACCCAGGCAGTGCAGGGCTGCCAGGGTGGAGCTGTGCCTGCACTCAGCCCATCTCCGCCTCACCTCCTCCTCAGAGCCTGCATTCCCTGGGTCCCCACCATCCAGGCGCCTACCAGCTTGTCCTCCCAGGGCCTGATGGTCTTCCCCAGGAGACAGGCTATGCCACCACTCAGCATCCAGCTCAGTGGGCAGCTCACTGCCCAGGTCTGGATGTTGATGCTATTCCTTTCTGTGTTAGTTTTCCTTCTAACAGTCAGTCCCCACTGCTGCAGGTCTGCTGGAGTTTGCTGGAGGTTCAGTCCAGACATTGTTTGCCTGGACAAAGATTGCTGCTTGTCCCTTCCCCTGGCAGCTTTGTCCCACGCTGCGGCTTACATCTAGGTGCAAATTAATTCAAATAAAGTAGCCTTTAGGCTGGCTACCATAAAAAAAGAAGACAAGTGTTGGTGAGGATGTGGAGAAACTAGAATCCCTGTACACTGTTGGTCGGGGTGGTGGGGGGGGCGCAAAATGGTGGAGCCAGTGTGGGAAACAGTGTGGAAGCTCCTCAAAAAAATTAAAGAAAGAAAGAATTGCCCTGTGGTCCCAAAATTCCACTTGAGGGCATATACTCAAGAGAAGGGAAAGCAGGGTCTGGAACAGCCATGTTCACGGCAGCGTTATTCACAGTAGCCTATGAGGGGGCAACCCAAGTGCCCATGGATGGCTGCATAAACACAATGTGGCCTATCCACCCACGCATGGGCTACTATTCCTCCCTGGAAAGGAAGGACATTCTTATACGTGCAACGACATGGACGGACCCTGAGGACATCATGCTAGGTGAAATACACCAGACACAAAAGGACAACCACTGCATGATCCACTTACATGAGGCACCCAGAGTTGTCAAAATCTTAGAGACAGAAAGTGAAGTGCTGGGTGCCTGGGGTAGGGGGGAGGGGAGGAATAGGGGGCTGAAATTTAATGGGCACAGTTTCAACTTTACAAGATGAAAAGTTCTGTGGATGGTGGTGGCAATGGTGGCCCAAACACGTGAATGTGCTTATGCCACTGAATCGCGCACTTAAAAATGGTGAAGACGGTGACTTATTTTTAAAATTAAAATAAAAATTCTATTGGAACAAATAAGAAGTTAAATTAAACATTCATTTCTTCAAGGACACCAGCCACACTTCAAGTGCTCAAGAGCCCCAGTGGCTCTTGCACCAGATGGGACAAAATAAACCCCTCTCCTCTCCAGCACTGCAGGAAGCTCTGTCCCACGGCAGTACTCTGGAAGGTCAGCCTTTCTCAGATGCTCCCACTTGCTCAATACCCCTCCTCCCCCAGACCACAAAAGAGTCTGGCATGCCTTAGATCCATTCCCAGGACTCTCCGGGTGTGCACAGGCTATCAGTGAGGACACGGGGTATTTATTAATTGTCAGGGCAACACCATGTTCCAAGCACGGCCGCACCTTATCTCCCTCACCCATGCTGTGCTCTTGCGGTGGGAGCTGGGGCTCAGATCAGAGGCAGAGACTCTCCCTAACCCTCCGTGGGTCTCTCAAGCCCCAGACTCTCTGCCATGCCCGCTGCCTCTGCAGGACACCGCCGCTGTGCCCGGGACAAGCACACCGTCAACACAAGTTTGCTGAATGAATCAGTGCTCACTTCTGTGTGACAGGGGCGCGTGCGGCCCAAATACTTTCTCAACGTCTGAGACTTGTCTCCTGAAACACTTTCTTTGTTGTGATAAAACTCATCTCAACTTAAAAGTTTTTGTATTTCTCATACTTTCCTAGAAACAGACCTTCCCATTATCCAAAATGGGAGTATGGCTGGATCACTAGGGTTGGAATAAAGTTGGATGGCAAAACTGAGAGAACGTTCTAGACATCCTCCAACCAGCTGTAGTGACAGAGAGACTTCAGCACCAGGAGAAAGGCCTCTCTGCCTCCGCCGGCCTCATGAAGGACTCACCACGGACCCCACCTTCAGCCAGCAGCCTCGGTGGACTCTCAGAAGCGACCCCTCCTGGGTTGTCACTAAATTAAATAGCACTACTGTCAGGATAACAAAACCACATTTTACGTGGAAACTAAAAACATGTTCACCCCATTGAGAGACTGAAAGTCATATTCGCTGACATTATCTCATTTAATCCTCACAACAACACCCACAATGAAAACATGGTAGAGGAGAAAACCAAGGCTCAGATGATGGGAGCAGCTTTCCCGGTGACGTGCCTGGAAAAGGCGAGGTCAAGAGTCACCATTGGACTGTAATTCCAAGCCCAGTCCTTTCCCTGCTGGGTGGACGGCAATATAATGCTAGGTAAGAACTCATATTGTAAGGCAGACAAGATTTTATACCCAAGTCTCACAGAAGTAGTGTGAGGACTTCCTACGATAATTTAGCATGGCAAGCGCCCAGGTGGGCAGGGCACACAGTCACATAACAGCAGCTCGATAGTTGTAGCCATTACGGTTTTATTGTTATTATTATTATTACATTGAAGGTACTTTCCAAAAATGAGATGACATTAAGTATGACAACACTCTCCCAAATAAAATGAATTCTGCAAATGCGGTGGACGTCAGCCCCCTGTGCAGATGAGAAGGTGGGGCTCCAGAGGGTTCGTTGACTCATCCAAGGCAGGTCAGGAGGAAGGTGAGAATGAAGGTGGGGTCTCTGTCCAGTGTTCAGCTCACTCCCATCCCCGCCTTGCCCTTGAGGTGTCTTTTCACCAGATCCCTGGGGACTCTGACCCATGTGTCAACTTGGTTCCTGGGGGCTCACTCCTGGCCCAAAAAGCAGAGCTCAGCAGCAGACCATGAGCAGACCTCCACATCCCTGCTGCCTGCCTCCAGCCTGACCCCAGAGGACCTCATTCATGCACAGGTTTGGATACACAGCACGGGGCTCTAGAGCCTCCCACCTGCCCAGCCTCCATACCACCTCCAGCCCTCCCTAAGCCCTGGCTTCCTCCCACAAATGCCCCCCTGCCCACTAACGCCCCACTGGCAACATCTCACATTCCAGGCTGTGTCCTGGTCCTCCCCCTCACCTCTTCTTTTCCCTGCAGGGCTCAGCTGAACCAGTCTGCCCTCTTGGGAACCTGCGTTTTAAAGACTGGATGATCCTCATCCCCACAGTGGCTCTGACCGCGTGACTCGGGGAGAGGAAAAAGCCTGCACACCCTCGACGCACACGTGGTTCAGAATCCTCATACCCCCTGCTCAGGTTGTGTGGGGTGTGGAATGAGGTGGAAGTGGTTCTTCAATCTCTTAGTATTAGGCAGACAAGAAGCAGAGGCCCAGAAGATGGGGGTGACACATAGACACCCCATTCAATAGCCCAGACTCACAGGGGGAGAGGATTCCCTCCCTCATCTTCAACTCCTCCCACTGACAGCTTCAAGGAGGGACTCTGGGTTGGTGTCTGGCCCTCACTCTAAAGCACACTAATCTCCACTTTAAACAGAAAGGGAGCTTCTGTTGGTATCCAGTGGAAGGTGGGACTCTCTAGCTGGGGCTGAATAACGTCGCTTTACTATGAGATAAGCTTTTAGGTAAAATGAGGTTTCCTTTTCCAATAATTTTAGTTTTAAAAAGTGGCAAACATCAAGAAAACATATTTTTCAAATGACTGGACTTTGAATGACATTTGTCATTCAAATGACTGGAGTTTGCATGAAACTGCCTTAGCATATAAAGAGCCTCGCCAAGGTAGAATTATCCCGCAGTTTGCAGATGAGAAAACTGAGGTCAGGGATGGTCAGCTTGTCTCACCCGTGGACCCAGAGAGCTTCCCTGAAACAGGGTCACTCACCTCCGGCTAACAAGGAAATCAACACAGCCTCAGGGCGCCTGGCCCAGCCGGGCCTCTCTGGCCTGCCCAGCCCCTGGTTGACCCTCCCCGCCCCACCCTACTCCCCCCACCCAGCCACCCCACTCACGATGTTCATGAGCGTGAGCAGGTACTTCTGCACGTGCTCCTTCCCGTGGAACTGGACCACAGAGTCGTCCACGCCCAGCAGGACCTCGATGTTGTAGTTGTCATCCGCGGCATGCCTGCGTGCCCTCCGCCTCGAGCTGTTGACGCGCTCCTCCAGGACACCCAGGGCACGGCTGAGGCTGTCCAGGCTGTCCAGGGAGGCCCCTGCAAGGAGAGTATGCTGTCTGCAGCAGCAGGGCAAACCCACCCAGACACGACACCCACTAGGCGCCAGCTCGCCACTCTCATTTAAAACTCGTAGCACCCCGAACTGAGGGTATTGTTCCATTTTACAGAGGAAAGCGAGGTCCGGAAGAAGGCGACAGAGACTTGACAAGCTGTCTCAGATGCAGCAGGGCTCAGACAGGTACCTCTGTGACTTTGAAAACTGCTCTTTCCCCAGCCCCTGGTGGCAACCCCAGCCACAGCAGGGGCCATAGCGGCCTCCACATGATGGATCAGGCCTGCTGAGGCCGTGAGAGACCCAGCCCAGTGTCACTGTCTGCCTTGTGGAGCCCAGGGCTGGCACTCAGACACAGAGAGGCCAGGAACCTCAGCCTGCACTGCCTGTAGCTGGAGTGAGCAGAGCCACCTCTTTTCCCTCCCGAAAGGCTGCCAAGTGCCAAAGGACTGGTGTTCCAGGTGTCACCGCCAGCTGTTATGACTGGGGAAACTGAGGCCCAGCCTCAGCTGTGTGTGTTCCCCAGTGTCTCCTTGGGTCCCTCCCAGAACTGTCTGCTCAGTCCTCCACTGAAGCAAGGCCCCTCACTTCTGGGCTGTGTCCTGGGCCCCTCCCCCGGTGAACTGTACCGCCTCTGGTCTGATTGATTTGTGCCAAGACCAAGAAGAACCCCTCTGTGACAGCTCTGCTGCAGTCGGCCCCTGGGCTGCCTCCCAGGGGTAGCCCTGGCCACTTGGGGCTGCCATGCTGGGGAGTTAGCCTTGGTATTGTCCCTGCCTTCTGTGCAGTATAGTTTCTGCCCTGTTCCGGGTCCTGCCAGGCCTGGAAACCACCCTGGACCAGACTTCAGTTCCCAGCTCTCCACACACCTCCCTCTAAAGGCCAAGAGAGGCTGACTAGGCTGACCTTCAGCATCGATGGCAGCCCCAGATCACACTGCCCACTGCCCCCCCAGCCCCAAAGTCTTGGAAGCCCCCATTCCCTTGCACTGGTCTCTGTGTCCAAACCAGGTCACAGCCCCAGGGTCCTGCTTCTCCATGGCATTCCCCAGGCAGGTCCTCAGAGACTCCTGGCCTGGGATAGACCCAGGGCTGCAGGTCATCGTGACGTCGCCAACCCACAGGGTGATGGCCAGGTCCCGGGGCCCCTGCAGCTGAGGTGGGAGACCAGCTTCCCTGCAGCATCACCTCTCTACAAAGAGTCTTCCAGAACAACTCTCCTCACTCCCAATGTCTCTCATCTGCTGCCTTTTCCAGGCAGGGACAGGCACTCCCTCCCTGTGAGGATGGCCCAGGACACACCCTAGAGGCAGAATCAGGCCTCTGTCACTCAGACAGTGCTGGCATCGGGCCCTCACCCTAGAACACACTTCTCACCCCGTGCTGACAGCAGGCCTCTTGGTGGACATGGCCATTTCCGTTTTACAGATGGGGAGACCCATGGCATCCCAGTGTGGCTGACTCTCAGCCAGGAGCTTTCTCCTTGCACCCTGCAGCCTGGCTCAGACAAGACAGGCTGAACATGAGGTTTCAGGCACAAACCTGCAACCCGGCTGTGGGCAAGACCAAGACAGACAGTGGAGTGTGAAGCAGAAGGTGAGGGCTGGGGCAGAGAAGGGGAGTAAGTGGGGCCAGGGCTGAGCAGCTGCTGGGGTTCCTATACCTTTGGGAGTCCTTGTGCCACTCCCAGCTCTACAGTTCTATGTCCCCTCGATGTACACACACATGCACACACACGTATACATACATATGCACACACATGCAGGTACACAACAAGGACTGCCCAGGGCCCCTCCAGTGACGGGTGGGGCTTGCGGGCCTGCAGGCAGGGCCGTGCGGAGTGAGCAGTCTGCTTAGCTGCCTGGAGATGATTCAGGGCCATCCATGCCATTCCCAGAGGGAGAGACGGCGACTTAAGCCTGACAGGGGTTGAGGAATTGCCACTCTATTTTTATACATTTATTTCTTTGCATTTTCCATGAACAGAGACAGCTCACCTTCAGAATCACCTTGGGAAGCAGAAAGATGGTAATTTCCATAGGAAAACTTCTTCCCCTGGGACACAGGCTGGACATTACCCTCTGCCCTTGTCAAGCTAGGGGTCACATATGGGCGGTCCTATGGGACCAGACTACAGAGGCACTCGTTGAGGCCATGTGGTACCTAAAGTATTCCTTATTTGGTTGACAGTATTTGAAAAATCTGAGATTTCCATGTTTAAAAAATCTAGAACATCCAGCTTCTCTTGAGGAATTAGGAGATGGGGCACCCCAGGAGTAACCTGGGCTGTGAATTGAGGGCCACACCTGGAGACAAAACACACAGGGCTTGGGTCACCAGGCCACCTGCCTGTCCCCCTAAATGTCTTTCTGGCACCAGAAGGCATCAGAGTGTGTCCTCTTGGCCCTAACCCCAGAGTCACTGTGCAGTAACCCCTACAGACATCTCCTGTAGGAGGGCTCTGGCGCTGTGTTGGGCCAGAGCAGGGCTGGGGCACATCTTGAGGCTGCTTCTGCGGAGCAGGCAGAGTTTTAAACTAAATTGTATGCTGTAGGCCCACTAAAAACAGCAAAGTTTTCTAAAGATGCTTTAGAAATGTCAGTTTCACCTGAAATAGAATTATTATTGTTGTCATCATTTTAATTTTGATAATTTTGAGAGGAATTTGGAAATTACATTCTAGAACAGTCCCGCTCCGCCCAGGACCAGTGCCTAGAGAGATGGCCCAAGGCCCAAAAGCAAAGCAGATGAGGAGAGGGAGATAGGGCCCTGGGTCACCTGGCAGGTGACAGCTGTGCCCTGAGTCTGGCCCCCAGAAAGTCAGGCTGGACAGGACAATGGGAGAAACTCTAAGGGCAGGGAGATCTGCGATGCCCTCTGGCCTGGGGCAACAGGAGCCCTGGCCCAGACACCCTCCTGCCCTCCTCTGTCCTAGCAAGACCTGGCAGTCAAGCTGAAGCCCCACCTTGTCAATCACAAATGCCACCTCAGTTTTTCCCACAATGGCCTTGATCCTGAAGCCCAGGCTATGAAGAGACTCTGACCACATGCTGGCCCTTGCAGGCCTGTCCCCCAAATAGAGCCTTGCTATAGGGAGCTGTGGCCGGTGGACCTGGCATGGTCCTGAGCCAGCTTCCTAGTGATCCCTTTGAAGTCAACCTTGGCCTTGGGCATGCCCCCCTGCACTGGTTGCCTACCTGGCCTAAGGGCCCCTGTTCCACTTAGTCCCTCGAGGCAAGAGTGGGCCATTTGCTGCTCTCACCTCCTTCACTGGGAGATCCCTATGCTTATAGCCCAGCCCTGCTGAGCTGTGGTGGCTCTGAGGGTGGGTGCAGTGGGCAGGTGTGGGCTCTGAGGGCAGCTGCAGCGGGCAGGTGTGGGCCCTGGGGGTGGGTGCAGTGGGCAGCTGTGTGACCTGAGGGCGGGTGAAGCGGGAAGGTGTGGGCCCAGATGATGGGTGCAGTGGGCAGGTGTGGGCTCTGAGGGCAGGTGTAGTGGGCAGTCTTGGGTTCTGCAGTGCTAAGGGCGGCTGGGTGTTCCCTGTCCCCTGTGCCAACCCCAGGCCTATGCCTTTTCTGGGCTGGCCTCTTCACCTGGGATGCCCTTTCTGTGGCTGCTGCTGCTGCTGGCCAAATTTAGGCCCCCTGAAAGACCCAGAAGGAAGGGAGCCTGCTGCCTCCCATGGGACTCAGAGCTCCTGGAAGACTGAAGTGTGTTCCACCCCATCTGCCTCCTTCACAACCCTACTGCATGCCACTGGGGGACAACAGGGACAGGGGCCGGGGATGCTTAAAACCTTGAGAAGCACACTGTTCAGTGACAGGGCAGACTGCTCTCCCCTCTGCATGGGATGGCTGCCCTCTCATTGCTCTCTTCCTCCAGGTGTCTGCTGAAGTATCAGCTCCTCAGGGAGAGCTTTCCTTATTTCATCCTAAATTGAAATTGCCCCTCCCCTGATTTCTGCCGACAGCACCCCCGTTCTTCCTTCCTGTGATGCTCCACCACGGGCAAGTCTTGCCTCATTTGTGAATCTTCCTGTGCATTAATTGACTTTCCCTCTCAGACAGAGAAGCCTGGTGGATGGAGGCCATGGGGTCTGGTGTGCCTCAGTTTGCCCAGTGCCCCACAGATAACTGCAGGGCTGTGAGGGGCCGGAGCCATGGCAGAGAGATGCTTTGGGAACAGAGGGCCCAGCAGAAGCGACCTGGGGGCCTCTGGGGAGCTGGGAGCTGGGCTGGAAGGAGAGGAAGGTGCAGCAGGGCCGAGAAGGCCACACTGGGGGTAGGGGGCTGAGAACAGTGGCCAAAGTGTGGTGCCAGTTGGAGAAGCACGAGATGGAACAAAGTCCAGCTACAAACTACTTGCATATGGTATAACCAAGTCAAAATGACCAGGAGGAGTTAAAACAAGTGGGGCAAAGAAACACGTACCATGTAATTGCCAACCAAGGCATTTAAGGAGATAAGCTGATAAAACACCTCATGAAAGAAATATAAAAGATACGAAACTTTATGCACCTAAGAGCTTCAACCTGATGCAAGGAAGAAGGGACAAGGCCACAGTGATATGAGTACTGTAATATATCTATTCCAGACAAGTCTGATACAATATTAGATAAGGATAGAAACTATTTGAATTAATAGGAAAACATAACATTCAAACCCAACAGCCAGAAAACATGTCTTTGTCAGGCATATATGGGAGAAGTTCCACATTTTACTACACATTAGGTCACAAAACTCAAAAATTGTGCCCACAATCACCATTACTGAGACAAAATCAGAGATAACAATAAAACCTCAAACCCTAAACATCTGAAATTAAAAGCACAGTCTTAATAAGCCTAAATAGAAAATATACATTCCACTCAAGTAGAAAACCTGAATAAACCAGTAACCTCAGAAGAAATTGAAAAAGCAGTCAAAGAAATGCTTCCATAGAAGAGTTTTACCAAACCCACAAGGAATAAATACTTCTCATCTTAC